GGCGGGCAGCGGCCCCTCCTGCGGCCTGCGGCTCCCCCTTCCCCGGCTGTCCCGGGCGCTGGTGGCAGCGGTGGCCTCGCAGCCCTGCAGGTTACGATCACTGATCTCCCTTTTTCTCTCTCTTTCTCTCTCTCCCTTCGATTTTCATTTGTATTTTTCCCTCCCCTGCTGTCTGGATCCCAGAAATCCCGTAAGGTAAAGATAAGTATGACCCACTGCACCTCCATCTCATCTGCCATCGGCGCGTCGTTCTTTTGTTTTGTTTTCCATTCAGATCTCAGTGTTTCACCCACTCCCCATCCAACCAAGCAGCTTTAGGAGCTCCGTAGATTAGAGCCACGTGTTTCTCCCTCCGTCATCCATCTCCAGCCGGTTGTTACGTTTTGTTTCGGAAGCATTTCGATTAATCCGGTCATGTTTCTCGTGTTAACTCCACAAAGCATTAGCTAGTGATTCACGTAACCGTATCTCAGCCTCGCTGCGGTGCCCCGGGATCCCTCCCAGCCACGTCGGGGGGGGGAACATGGCTCCTGTTGCGTGCCCAGCCCAGCGAACCACGCGGCCCAGCTCGCCTGGGATTGTCCCTGCCAGGCAGCGGGGGCCGCAAAGTGACAGCAAGGAGGAGCTGGGGGGGGGGTCTTTCTCCTCCAAAATCCCGGCCACACGGGATGCGGGAGAACCTCCTCACGCCTTTTGCTGTAAGGGACCTGTAGCAGCCAGCTGAACCCAAGCTGAACCCCTCCGGTGTGAGTTTGGGTTTAAACATTAGCCCTGGCAAGGCTGAAGCGGGATTTGTTTACTCGGTGTTGGGGGTCACGCAAAGCCAGAGGCCTCCACGCCTGAGGGCATTGGAACGGCATCTTCCCAAAATTGAATTTACAGGAAAAATAAATCTTTTCCCTGCTGGCAGGTGAGACCTTGGAGCGTGGCGTGAGGAGGTTCCCTGGAGGCTCCGTTCTCCCCTTTGCACAGCCTGGTTCGGTGCCAGACGCCTGGAGCCCATCTGCTCCCTGTGCTCGCCGGTGGCTCGCCCTGGTGGTGCCGTGGCCGG